CTCTTATTTTTATTTTAATAGAAATTTAATTCCTTCAAAGTGGTGCCCTAAAAAACCTGTACTGCTTCAGGGAGGGATAACAGCAAGGCCTGTTTAGTGTATGTTATTTATGTAGCGCTTGGAATATTAAGGTGGTTGAGCATGTTTTTGTCCTTTGAAAATAGTACTTTATTTCCCTATAAGTGAGAAATCTTATTATCTTACATGATCGATTAAGGCTTCTTTTTTCCAGTGAGACATATCTAGGCAATTGAAGTTCTTTTATAAATGTGTATATTTAGGGCTTTAGAAATTTGAACAAAATTCAAACTTAAGGCTATTTTCCTCAGGTATTCTAACTGGCTAGAAACCCCATTTATAGGCTTTGTAAGGTCACAGGTATGATTGTTGGTTAACTTACAGGCAATCTGCACTTACATACTGCTTTTGTCTTTTTTAGGAGGTATCTCTTATCCTCTTCGTGGGTAGTAAATAAAAGGTCAGAAAGAGCAGTAGCATCTGACACTTAGCTCGCACCTGTCACCTGCCCAGCCCTCTCCTAACCCTCACACTTACTCTTCCCCAATTCTCCTGGTGTTGGTACAGTTATCAAGCCCCTAATGAAATGAGGAAACTGAGGCACAGGGAGGTTAAGCAATAACCTTAAGTTTACATATTGGGTTGTTGCTGTGCTGTGGTTCAAACTTGGGCCATCTTGCTCCAGAGCCTAGATTCTCAATTTTTGACACCGTTCTGCTTCTCAGACCTTAGCTGGGCAGGTTTGTGGGGGTGAAAATGCTTACTGTATGCACAGTTACTACTTTCCCGAAATACTGGTTGTGATGGATGCGATTACGTAGAACAGAATGGGTATTTTAAGCTACTAAAATAAGGGAGGATTTCCTTCTGCTTTCAATTCCGTTTTCTCTTTCCCTCTCTCTTTCTGTCCTCTGTGTCAGGGCCGGTGCCCACTCACCGCAGTCGTCCTCGTCGGCCTGGTTCCCGCAGTCGTCCACACCGTTACAGTGAAGCAGCTGAGGCAGGCACCTGGTGACGTTCCCGCAGGGGAAGTAGCCCAGGGGACACTGGGCATCCTGTCCACTCCCCTGAGAGACTGTGAGGCAAAGAGAAGAGAGGACACAGCTCTTGAAGGCAGTCAAAGCACAAAGCCTTGCAGAGAGTGGCTGCCCCCGGTATTTTATAAACATTTGGCTTTTTCATCCTGCTTGGTGCAACCCTTCATACGGTCGCCTCATCTTTGGTCTCCTGACGCCAACTGTTTCCAAGAACCTTCACCTGAACAGGACACTTTTTTCCACGTTTCCAGAAGATGCCCACATTCTGCCCTCTTTGCCTTTGTTCACGCTCTTCCCCACTTGGAGTGTCCTCTCTATCTCTTTTTTAAAAAAAGAAATGTTGACCTGTATTTTACAGTTCAGCCCCTTCTACAAAAAAAAAGAAGAAGAAAAAAACCCCAAAAAACAAAACCCAGAAAACTCCAGCCAGTGATTTTAAAATTAGGAATATATGGTTATCTCAGAATCGAGGCTGGTCTGGTATTAGAGGAAGCTGAAGAGAGAGGACGGCAGGAAAGCCTGGGCCACGCACTTATCCACGGCCCATAGATCCTAGGTTGGGGCCCTGCGCAGGATCGTGTGATGTAGCGTCTGATGAAACCGACTTCCTGTCTGGAGGTCACTGTCTAGTGGGGAAGACCCATAGAACAAGTCAGCCAACAATTTAATGTATGACAGGGGCAAAAGGAAAGAAAACAGGTGCTGGGGCTCCGTGCAAAGGGTAGCCAGCGGGGCCTCTGTAAAAGGGTGCTATTAAGCTGAGATTGGAAGGAAGGAATCCAAAATGGGAGTGGGGAAGTGGTGGTGGTTGACGTGGTGAGGAAGGGGCTTGGGCTGAGGAGCGGAGAACTCAGAGATGTTGTGGTGACTGAGCCCAGTGGGCAATGATAAGGGGTAGGAGCCGAAGGTCACGGGGTAGGAGCCGAAGGTCATGGGGTAGAGAGGTATCCTTGCACAAAGGTAAGAAATTTAGATTTTATTCAAAATGCAAAGGGAAACCAAAGAATAATCTTAGGCCAAGGGAGCACTTGGGAAACCTGTTCGCTTTGGTAACATCGGTCTGGCTGCTGGGGTGGGATGTCAGTGGGTGGGAGACTGGGACGGGGAGCAGGAGTGGAGGCAGGGCTGCCCACTAGGGGACTCAGCAGTGCTCTGGGTAATAGACGATGGTGCTTAGCCGGGGGCAGTGGCAATGTAGGGGAGAAAAGTGGACACAAATGACAAGTAGAATAGACAGAATTCCTTAAACTGGTTGAGCAGCTGGGAGGTGGGCAGTGCCACTCCTGAGACCGTCTGAGGGTACAGCAGGTGCAGGAAGAAGCATGGCTTATTTGCTTTCATTGCCATCTTTACCCAAGAGCGTGAGCACTTGAGCTTTCCCACTCCATCCACTCAACACCAGGCACAGCCACCACTCAGCCTCTGGAAACTCCTCCCTTGTTTCAGAGGCCCCATTCTGGTTTCTCAGCTCTTCCTGGATTCCTGGAAGTCTCCTTTATCACCACATCTTATCCCTGTCACTTCCTCTTGAAGTTGGCTGCAGCCTTGTGGCCCCTGACTCAGTTTCTGTTGGCAGGTGGCAAGGTGAGGCTCTACTGCTGCTGGATACATGCTCTTTCCTTTCTTGTTACTTTTTTGAAAGAAAATTAGTTGCTACTTGCAATTATGTTTCTAGGACAGAATGTGTTCTGAATGCCCAAAGCCAATTTAAAAATTAAAGTTTTGAAATATTATCTGATTTGATATATTTATACTCTAACAGTATTTAATAGAATGAAGATGACCATAGAACTTTGAGACCGTTAAAGAGTGATCCCCAGTAATGTCTCCCCACCAGACCCCAAATCTATACTAACAAGCAATCAATTAAGTTTTATCACCTATTTAGATATTTGCAAGTTGTTTTGAGTACCTTAATCTTATCTCCCTTACAAGGAAGAAAACTCATTGTAAACAAAGCCCTGTCATTTTTGTATCTCTGGTTAGGGATCCTGAAAATTACTTGTTGAATAGAAAAATTTAGAGACACAAGCACAAGGGGTAAAAATTGTTTCATCAACACAAAGAAGAAAAATTGGGACCTTTGTCTCAAAGAATTGAAAGGTACAAATATTTGATAACATTTTACACAACCTTCCTATTCTGACTTTCAGAGGTATTGAGGTCATTTTAAGAAGTAGATTTTATTTTTCTTTATAGCCATCTTAGGCTCACAGTAAAATGGAGGGGAAGGTACCGAGAGTTCCCTTATACTTCCTCCTCAGACCTACACAGCGTCCCCCACCATCCACACCCTTCCCACCCCCCAATTCCTGAGTGGTACATTTGTTACAATCAGTGAACCTCCATGGATTTATTATTATCACCTGGAGTCCATAGTTATATTAGGGTTCACTCTTGGTGTTTTGACAAATGGATAATTACATACAGCCACTATTTGTTACAGGGTCGTACAGAATAGTTTCACTGTCCTGAACATCCTCTGTACTGTGTCCGATTATCCCTCCTTCCCGGCAACCTCTGGTAACCACTGAACTTTTTATCGTCTTCGTGGTTCTGCTTTTCCCAGAATGTCATGTGGTCGGAATTATACAGTATGTAGTCTTTAAAGATCAGCTTCTCTCACTTAGGAATATGCATTTATCTTTTCACCAACTGGAAAACATGGTGGTTGCTTTCAAGTGTTGGCAATTATGAATAAAGCCAGTATATAACCATCCATGTGATGGTTACTTTATTTATTTATTTTCTTTTGAGACAGAGTCTCACTTTTCCACTCTGGGTAG